TGTATGTGTAATATTCGTCCCTTTTTCTATCAACTCTGATCGGTAGCGTATCTGAACGAGCTGGTGGGGATACTTTTTTAGTCAGCGGCCGCGGGCGAGCGCGCCGGCGGCGAGTCAGGTCAAGGCGGGCTACGCAGAGACTAATTAGGCAAAGGAAACGCAGGAAAAACGAATACAGAGCAACGCGCGAGGCTAAGCGCGGCCGAGGCCACAGGTGGGTGGCTGGGGGGACTGAGACTGAGGGGAACTGCCAGCGTGCAAAGGCTGGTGGGGATACTTTTTTTTGATCGGCGGTTCAAAGGACGACTCCAGAGAGCGGGTCAATCTCGACAGGGGCGCCTGGTGGGGATACGCGAAACGTGAAGAAGTGTTTGAACATCGTCTAACCGATCCCTATCCCAGCTGCCGTGGCCTGGGCCCCACTGGCTGCTCCGTCCGGGTTTCGAGGGGCCTGTCCCCCCCTGGGGTGGTGGGATGGCGGGACTGAGACACCATGACCCGGTGAGGCTGGGGTTGAGTTACACGCTACTGATTCGGACGCCCGAAATGGGTACGGAAAGAATGGGTACAATGCCCAACAACAAATGTTGTCCCAAACCAACAGCGGCCGCTGTTGGGCGGGCGGCCTTCTGTCTCAAATGGACACAGGCCGCGGCGGCGCGGACAGCGAGTCCTGTTCAAAATGAACAGGAACTGCTGTTGGGCATTGTACCCGTTCTTTCAATACCCATTTCGGGCGTCCAGATACACGCTACTCATCCTTGACGGCCGTTGCCTCGACTGGCCCTCCTCCGCCTCACGCCTCGGGGATCACCCCTCCTCGGCAAGCCTCCATGAAGGTGCCTTGCTCGGGCATTGCGGCGCAGCGCGCCCCGGGCTGGCGGCGCCGCTCGAGGTGGGCGTCGAGCCGCGAGCCCTGCCACTCCAGCTCCCGGTCGGCGTGCCCGAAGCGCACGTGCGTGTCCAGCGCGCAGAGGCTCGGGAAGCGCAGCATGCAGAAGGGGCAGTGCGAGGCGTGCCCCCCGCACCTGTCGCACTCCTGCAGAGGCCTCCCCAGAAATTGGGTCTGAGCACGTCGGGGGTGTGAAGATCGCGCCACATCCCGCCACATCGCCGCTGCGTCGCCGATGCATCGGCGACGCCAGCGCGAAGAAGATCGAGCTCCACATCCAGCCGCATCGGCGATGCATCGGCATTGCGGCGCGATCCACCGACCCCACCTGCTCGGAAACCATCTAGGAGGCCTAGGTCCTTGCAGACGCCGTAGTAGTCGAACAGGGAGGAACAAAACACGGCAGATGCATAAACTGTCGCAGCTCCGCGCGGAGTTCTGGGATCGGCGCTGGGCCCCCTGGCGGCGCCTATGGCGCCGCCGCTGGCGCGCTCCGCGCGCCAGAGAAGGGCGTGTCCAGCGCCGATCCCAGAAATCCACGCGGACCTCCGAGCGCTCGTGTCTGTGCCGCCTTCTCTCCTCGGGGATCAGCCCGCTCTGGGGCTTGCAGCCGCAGAGGGTGCAAGCGCACGGGCCCTTGCACGTCGGGCAGCCCTCCACCGTGACCAGGAGCAGAGCGCCCTGGAAGTCGGCGAGTGCCTGCCCGAGCACCTCGACGTCCCCCAGCACCCTGTGCCCAGCAATCAGTTGCTGGTCGCACGCTGGAGGACCCCCCGCCTCATCGATGGCGTGCTTCAGCATCAGCACTGGCTGACCCACTGGCACCTTGTATGTTCCCAGACTCTGGCCGCTGATCTTGCGGACGGCGACCTCGAGATGGGCATCCTTGGCCTGTGACATTGCAAGCCGCTGGAACTGACGCCCAACACAGGTGACGCGAGCGGTCGACAGCCTAGGTAAGCCCTGCCAGCTGGCCAGAACTAGCGTGCCTGGGCCAAAATGCCTACGGACCATCGAAGAGGGAAGCGCAGCAGCAGGTGCAAGACTAGCTAGGAACGCAGTCGGATAGTGCTAACTTGTTGCTGCTGCATGGAATCGGAGCGACGACTGCACGTAGATACGGTCGCAAACCAGCCATACACTGACATGCGAAGGCCAACACAAGCCTGTCATCTCTATGCTCATTGCTTGACACATGTCTGTGGCGAGCCCCAGATTCCTCAACCAGCGGACGTCCGAATCCCTCAACAATGCTCAAACACGCTCCGAAGACTGCCAAATAGTAGCTCAAGAAGGTGTCGACACGGCCCAAAACGGCCCCGTGACATTCCGAGCCCCCGCGATGGCCCCGGCACCACTTGCAGAAATTGCCATGACGTTCTCACGATCTCTCTCAGACGTCCGCGAAAGACAAGACGGCCCACAGACCCCCAGCAAAACCAACAGTTGCCCACGAGGAACCTGAATGACCCCGAAAATATCCCCTCTTGGCATCTCAGAAGCTCAAGCTCGTAAACAAGATTTGCGAGATTGGTTTGACAGTTCCTGTGTTTTTGCACCCATGGTGGCGCACGATGATATGATTGAGGCCTCGAGGCCTCAAGACAACCTCAGCCCACTCAATCTAGCTTCGAGGCTGTCACAGAGCATCCCAAACATGGCGTGGACGCGGCCCAAGACTCCATCAAGGCGGCCCGAGAACCCGCACACACCCTTGAAAGCCGTCGACCGCAGCCGACGATTGCAACCGACGGCCCAGGAAGCTCCCTTGAGGCCCCCCCAGTGTCGGGGGCGCGCAGACACGGGTCAGCGATCCATGGATCGGGCGCGCGGCCCCCACATCCATGGACCCGGCGAGGTGCCCTCCCCAGAATGCGGCCGGTGCCGCCCCGTTCGGCGGCGGAAATCCGCGGCTCCCCATGGAAACTGACTACCTACCAGACCACCCCAACCCAACCCGAAGACCCGAATTTGACCCGAATTTCGGGTTGGGGGGGGGGTACGGGTTCCATGTGTTTTTCCAACGTTCCCCGACCCCCCCCCGCTGGAAATGGAGGGGAGATATTGAGGCCTTCGGGTTGGGCTGGGGTGGTTTGGTAGGTGGTGAGAAACGGGACCCGTCGCGCATCTTGGGCGCCCGAGTTACCCCTGATGATTCGGGGCTCTGGACGCCCGAGTTATCCGGGGTAACTCGGGTCCGGGGTAAGTCGGGTTCGGAATCCCGAAAAAGGAACCCGAGTTAGCCCTGACCCGAGTTACCCCTGATGATTCGGGGCTCTGGACGCCCGAGTTATCCGGGGTAACTCGGGTCCGGGGTAAGTCGGGTTCGGAATCCCGAAAAAGGAACCCGAGTTAGCCCTGACCCGAGTTACCCCTGATGATTCGGGGCTCTGAGCATCCACGCCCCCCTTGGTCCACGTGTTGCGATCGCCTGACCTCGGCGGGGAACACGCCCCTCCCGCCTCGGCCCTCGGCGGGCCTGCGGCCGCCGCGAGCAGGCGAGTGCGCGGCCACGGGGCAGCACCGCGGCGCCTCTGCCAGCAGCGACGTGGGCCACAACCGCTCGGGCTGGCAGGGGCCGCGGACGAGCTTTGAGTCAGGCGCGTCCCCCTACAGGCGGATTGTACACCCTGCGAAATGCTTAAGAAATCATGGGTTAAGAAATTCATAGTCTCAGAAATTGAATAAAACCCAGAACTTCTATCAAAATCTTGGGATTTACATTGGAAAGTTAAGAATAATCGAGACTCTGGACGAAAACTTAGGTTTTCTTAAGCATCGCCTGAGGTGTAGGCGAACGAAAGCATAAAACCGACTCAAGAACAGTCAAAACTAGCCGAAGGGTCGTCCCAAGACCATGTTCGGATTGTTGTTGAGCATTTCCCCGTAGAGGGACGTGCCCTACTTCATCCTAGATGGGCTCCGAGTAGATGGGGTCAGAGGACCGCGTCGCATCGTCAATGCATCGGCGACGCCGGCGATGCATCGGCGACGCCAGCGTGGGGAACATCGGGCTCCACATCGAGCCGAATCGCCGGTGAATCGGCGGCGCGGCGCAGTCCTCCTGCCCCAACTGCTCGGACCCCAGCTACTCCTAGCCTGGGAGTCGCGCGCCGAAGCACGCACTCGGCACTCACCATGCGTGATTAGGGCGACGAGCCCTATACATATCCACTGCTCCTGGCCAGGTCCATCCTGGGCCCAGGAGCGGTGTAGATGCCTCCCTAGCCAAGCCAGGAGGGCGTATACACCGCTCCTGGGCCCAGGATGGACCTGGCCAGGAGCAGTGGATATGTATAGGGCTCGCCGCCCTGCGTGAGCGGGAGAGAGGCAGAAGGGGCAGCCGCACAGGCAGGGGCAAGCTGAGTCGCGCCGGGAGCGCCCGCAGCGAGGAAGGCGCCCGCGCGGTCCGAAGTCAGACCTGGAGCCGCCACTGGTGGACTCCAGTCGACGGCGAGCCGGGGGTGAGGGTGAGGGGGCGGGCGTTCTCAGAAGGCGGCGTGACCTCTAAGAAGTCCCGCGGCCGTCTGAGTGTCTTTCCTTCGGCCTCTTGAGAAGCCGCCCTTGCCTTCGGAGATGGCCCAGCAAGCTCCTGTGAAGGCCAGAGGCTTCCCGAGCCTTCCAGGAAGGCCCGCCTCGGGGCTTCGGAGGGGGAGGAGTAGGAGTAGGTGTAGGAGTAGGAGGAGGAGGAGGAGGAGGAGGAGGAGGAGGAGGAGGAGGAGGAGGAGGAGGAGGAGGAGGAGGGAGGAGGAGGCGAGGAAAGGAGGGGGGAGAGAGGAGGAGGAGGGGGCTCGGGCTTTCCAATATGCCCCCTTCTGCGCCTCCGTCTGCGGCGCCCCAGGGGCCCCTCGACGGGGGCAGAACCAACCGTGGAAAACGGCGTTCCCCGTGCCCCCGCTTCCGGTGCTCCCGTCTCCGGCGCCCCGACCGCCCCCTCTGCATCAGGAGAAGGAGGAGGACGGGGAGGAGGACGGAGGGGGAGGAGGAGGAGGAAGAGGAAAACGGGGGGAGGAGGAGGAGGAGGAGGAGGAGGAGGAGGAGGAGGAGGAGGAGGAGGAGGAGGAGGAGGAGGAGGAGGAGGAGGGGAGGAGGAAGAGGAAGAAGAGGAGGACCAGTTTAAACCCAAGGGTCATCAACGATGTTATAATAAGCTCTCCCTCCAAGCTCCCTCTTCAGAGGCCCCTACAAGGGTTCATGTCCACTGAAAGAACTGCCCCGTAGGAAGACAAACGCCTGACAAAAACCTGATGCATGCCAAAACATCGTCCTCGGGATTGCAAAGCCAGGGATCAACCTGACTGTTGCGTACTGACGATCCTGTATCGTGCCAGAACGCCATCCTTGGGACTTCAACACAGCGATTCAACGTAATTGTTGCATCCTCATAATCCGAACCCTTCCAAAACACTGGTTCTGATACGCTGATGATGGGAGCCCGTGAATCTCTTGCGATTTGAAAATGCGCGCGTCGGTAAAGCGAGAACCACAACTTGAAAAAGAGCCGCCCTCAATCCGCGAAACTCTTGCAATTGTTTCAAACGAATGAGGGCGCTGAGGCGAAAACCACATGTTGAAAAAGACTCGCCCTCAAGCCGTGCAACTCTTCAAAACGAATGCGCGGCGCTAAGGCGAGAACCACATTTTGAAAACGACCCGCCCTCAATCCGTGAAACGCTTGCTAGTGTGTGAAACTAGTGTGCACGACGCTAAGGCGAGAGCCACATATTCAAAACGGCCCGCCCTCCATCTGTGAAACTTTTCAGTTGATGGTGAAGAAGTCTCAGGCGAAACACCCGGACCGCCCTAAAAACTTGCCTCGGGGAGAGGCAGGTAATTACCCACATGAGAATATGTTTAACTTGACTTGTCTGGGGATCTCCTCCTTCCCCCTCCCTTCTCCAACCTACTCCTGCCTCCTCCTTCTCCTCCTGCCTGCCCCTCCTCCTGCCTCAACCTCTGCCTCCTCCTCATCTTGCCTCATCAACAATCTCCTCTTCCTTCTTTTCCTCCTCCTTTTCCCTCTCCCTCTCCTTCTCCCTCCTCATCGTCCTCCTCTTCCTCCTCCTCTTCCTCCTTTTCCTTCTCCTCCTCCGAAGCCCCGAAGCCCCGAAGCCCTCCTTCTCCTCCCTTCTCCCTCCTCCTCCTCCTCCTCCTCTTCTTCTCCCTCCTCCGCCTCCTCCTCCTCCTCGTCTCGATCATCCTCCCCCTCCTCCTCCTCCTCCTTCCTCCTCCTCCTCCCCTCCTCCTCCTCCTCCTCCTCCTACCTCCTCCTCCTCGCTCCTCTTCCCTCCCCTTCCCTCATGCCTCCTCCTGGCCAATTGGAGCCTTCTGGAGCCTTCCGACCCTCCCGGGACATTTCTGGGGCCTCCTAGGGCATTCGTTTCCTCCTCCTCCTCCTCTCTCCTCCTCCTCCTCCTCCTCCTCCTCCTCCTCTCCTCCTCCTCCTCCTCTCCACCTCCTCCTCCTCCTTCTCCTCCTCATCGTCCTGTTCCCCCCTCGGCCTGCTCCTCCTCTTCCTCCTTTTCTTTCTCGTCTTGCTTCCTCCTCCTCCTCCTGCTCCTCCTCCTCTTCTTCTTATCTTCTTGTTATTCGTATATTGGTTATTGTCAGTATTCCTCTTCTCCATCTTCCTCCTCCTCCTCCTACGCCTCCTCCTCCTCCTCCTCCTCCTCCTCCTCATCCTCCCCCTCCCCCTCCTCCTCTTCCTCCTCCTCCTCCTCCTCCTCCTCCTCCTCCTCCTCCTCCTCCTCCTCCTCCTCCTCCCCTTCCTCGTGCGGAACACCGCCTAGAAGAAACTTTCGACGTGCGTGCCAGCGGCTTCGCGCCAGATGACTACCCTGAAGAAACGCGCGCCGGAAAACGACCCGGAACAAACACGTGAGGTACGGGCCCCATAAAGACGGGGCTTCCGTTCGAGATTTCCTCGCAATTCAGTCACAAACGAGGCTCCCGCCTGAAAGCCCCTCCATACTGAGGCCTCAAAAGCCCAAAAGTGATGACGGTTACATGAGGCCGATGAGCCGCCTCGGAATCGAACACGAAGTGCGGGCCTCATCGAAAGGGGATTCCCG